TTAGTTTGGCCTTTGCAAATTGATTATATAAGAGCTTTGCTGTAAATCTGCTTGTTTTCTTTTAGAAATTGTGGGTTATTATTAGTGTTGATTGTCACTATACAAATGTTGACATGTTTCAAGATAGTTTTGAAAAACAAAATATAAATGTGTTTTTGGCTTCATGTATAACTTTCATTTTTTATTCTTATTTTGCGGCACTGGGGATCAAACAGAGCTTTCCATGTGCTAGGCAAGTGCTCTCTACCACTGAGCTATATTCCCATCTCCTTCATGTATAATTTTAAGTCCTCTTTATGGAATTTAATCTTGGGAACTTGTCAGGATTTTTACATATCTTACCTGAACTGTTGCATAAAGCAATATAGTCTTGACCAGTGTAAGGCTTCTTAACATGAAGGGCAGCAGGTAGACAGTAAATCTGCTTGAGGGTTGTTGCCATATTTAAGGTTATGGTTTGTTTGCTTTACAGCGGAAGTAATAGTCATGCTCACATAAACTCTAGGATATCTATCCTTTCACCTTTGGATATGGGACACATAGATCTTCCAGAACTAGAAACTGAAGACACATTGGAACTACAATTCCAGCAGCTGAGTCTTCCCCAGTTCTGTGTCTTCATTCTGGAATCAGCAGTTCCCCTCTTAAAAACAGGTTAGTTGTTTTTAAAAATCCTACCTCTTATATGTTTTGTGTTTGTTTTCTATTTTTTTCCAGGATTTTTTTTCTTTTTTTCCTTTTTGTATGTCGGGGTCTTTAGAATATATTTTTGCTTATTTTTTTGTTTGAATTCCTAAGAATTTAATAAGGTCTTTATTATGTTTTAATTCAATGTGGATGGCATGGAGTGCTAAGCAGATAGTGTATCCTTTTCCACTTACGTGTTTTTATTGGCACAGGCTCCACTTTTGTATTTAAATGTAAGCACACACAATAAAATAGCCCTGGAAAAAGAGAAGGTATACTGCACAAATAGATCAGAATAAAAACATTTAGCTTTTGCTCTTCAGATACTTTGTGAGTTATTGTTCATGCCTCCTATTTGTTTCTTACAGGCCACGAACCGTTAAAAACAAAATCCCCAAATTGGACTCTTCTTACCTTTCAAAAAAAAAATCCACAAATATTCTGGGGTTACATTTTTGCTCAAAAGTTTTAGGTATTCTTTTACTAAAGAGTGGTAACAACAGCAAAACAGCATGACTGATGTTTGAGTCTAGTAACAAAGCACATGTATTGGGTCCCCTCTAAGTTCAGCTGTTGTACTTGGTTTCACGTGCATTGTTTCTCACTTTTCTCACACCAATCCATTTCTTCCTCCCAGTAGTGGTAGTTACCATTTTACCTAACTTTTTCAAATGAGGAAACAAGTTTAGAATGATTACAGACTTCCCTGAAGTCAGATAGCTAAATGCAGGGCTTGGCTCAAGGTTCTTCTGAGTTCAGAACACTTCAGCCTTTGTGAGGGAAAGAAGGCTTTGGAAGCAGTAATGATTTTATTTTTTTCCCCTCTAAATCTGTATGTTTTTAGTAATTGATGAACTTGTCAGGATAGGAACACGAGCAAGTTTTGCCCTTCTTATTTTATACTGTTAAAGTAAAAAGCATCCTGTGTTAATGGTTCTTTAAGACCTTTGGCCAATTTTTGCCTGCTTGAGGTGATGGAGAGGAAAGTAGGAGGAAGGTTTATATTTGGATAGCATTGAAATCTTTGGTAATGAAGAAAACTGTCTACTCCTGCCTCTCATTGAATAAATAACTACTTTAAGGAGTTGACTACATGTTGACTCCTATGCTTATAATGTGAAATGAAGGAATATCTGAACTTTGGCATTATAATGTGTTTGTATTTATCTGCCTGGCATACTGGAAGAACAGTTTTAGACTTAACTATTTTGCATTTAACCTTTTGTTAATTTGCTGTAAAAAGTCACATTGATAATTATAAAGCTATATCGTGGTACATAAATTTTCTAAATGTTCTTTTGCCCTTTTGTGGTAAATTATTGCATAACTTTTAATGGTGCAATATGAGAAGAGGTTTCTAAAAGAACTTGCTCCAGCTGTTTTAATGAAAAAATTAACTTACAGCCTTATGATCTAGTAGTTTGTTTATTCATTAGAAGTTAACCTTTTGGATGTGGAAAAGGAATGTCTTATCTTAAAGCTTATTTCACATAGAATCTTGCAAAGTGTTTTTTTTTTTTTTTTTTTTTTATGTTTTTCTGACTCTCTGGAGAAAGGAAATTGTCCTGGTGAGTGTGACTTTGACAATATAGTTTCTTTTGGAACTTTTTTGGAGTTTAAGTGGGATTAGATGGAATATCTTAAAGTTTCTTCAGCAGACATCTGCATGGACATTATTCCTTTAGTTGTTCCAGTTGAAACATAGCTTCTCATGTAACTCCTGTGTGAAAAGTACTATCGATGACAAAACCTCTTCTTTCTAATACTAGCTAGAAATTATTAGAATGCATCTTCTAAACTTGCTTGGTACTGTGCCATGTACTGTGTAACGTGGATAGTCTCTGAATTTGAAAAATTGTTTTAACCTATGTCACAGTTTTTCTGCTAGATTATTGCTGCTTTCTTCTTATCTTTTAAACTATTATGAGCATATTTGATTTGTTTGGCCAAGAAATACTCTAAGGGGAGAGTACGGAAGGTCCTGGGAAAGGAGAGTCGTCAAATTATGTTGTATACATTACAAGTCTGGCGTGATGCATCCCACTTTTTGTATAATTTTAATGCAGCAATAAAAAAAAAAGAAGTGTTATGATTGGAACAGAATTCTTTGGTGGTGGTTGTAGATTGTTACTTCCTTTTTCATCTCTGTTAAGAATTCTAAAACAATTTTTAAAAAGGCAGGAAGGAATTTGGGGGCATGTCTAGCTAGAAAATTCAACTAATTATTTGAAAATAAGAAAACTTTTCCCTTCTTTCCTTTCTCTTTGTATTCCTAGGCAGTAGACAAATGATAATGAGAGTTCTAGAATTGCTTGCAGAGGATATGATACTTATTGGTGAAGCAATTTCAGCTGATATCTGGGATGACAACAGCCTTTTTGCTATAAATATGGTAAGAAATCATGTTTTGTTTGGGATATGGGTAATAGTATTTTATTTGACTTTTGGTCTTTGAAGCTGGTTTCATTTGTCTTTGGAAGTTCATACTTTTATTTCTGACACAGAAATAAAATTAGGCTTATTTTATCCCCATTCTTGAATAGGTCATTTCTCCAGAGGTTTTGGTTATTTTTAATAGGGAAAGGTCTATCAAGACTAATAATGGGTCTTTGGGAGTGTTTATAGCTACAGTGATATCATTCTTCCCTCTCAGTAACAAAACTAGGAAATGTATGATTTAAAAAATCTTGAGTTCATATTGCTGTTTTTCTGATTTTAAATTTGTATTTCTTATACTTTTGATTGTAGAAAGTCTTAGACCCTATATAAAACAAATTGGTTAGTTAGAACCTTTAGCATACATAAAACATTGTTTTAGAATAGCAATATTAATATCACTGTGAACAACTCTAATAAAGTTCAAGATTTTCTAGCAGTTTTTTTGACTTAGACTAAATCTCAATATGTTACTGTCAAAATACTGTACTTCAAAGTCACACAAAAGAATTCTTTCTCTGTTATAATATCAACATTGAGTTGTTTCAATTTGTTTCCACTTTTGGAAATTTTCTCTTCATAAAAATGTAGCTCAGTGATGTCTCCCTGACTTTCTGTTCCCTTTAAGGTTTTTTTTTTTTTTTTTTTTTGTCTAATGGTAACTATTTGAATTGTATTTTCTGGTTCATCCTCTCTATTTTTTTCTTAGTTATTAGCAGATATAAGCAAAAAAAGCATGTAGAGTTTTACCAACTTTGTATATCTTACATTAAAGGTAGAATATTATATACACTTGTTTTTATAACTTAAAAATGCATAGTGTGTGCATGAGGTAGAAGGTACAGAAGTCATTCTGTGTCTGAATGTTGAGATCTTCTTTATTCTTTCCTTATAGGTTGCAGATGCTTCAGTGTGTGCATTGATCTGTTGGTGATGATCATAATTGCTAGTACAAATCATGAGTGATGTGTAATTACTTATGTCACTTCATGCTTGCACAAGTGTGTCTCTGAGGAGGATTTAAGTGAGATTACTGTTCCAGAAAGTAAATGTATTTTTAATTGTAGCCACTGTCAAGTTCCCTGTGTACTTGCACCATTTCTTTCACCCACCAGCAGCATCCTAGAAGGAGCTACCTAGAGTGTAAAACCAGATGTCAGGTTTTTGCCATTCTGATGAGATATTGCCTGTCAGTGTAGTAGGTTAATCGTGAGCATCTTTTTGGTAATCTTAAGAGTCATTTGCCTTCTCTTTGCCTGTAAACTCTTCACACTTTTATCTGTTCTCTCTTGGGTCATTGGTTTTTGTTCTTTTTCTCAATTTCTAATAGATTAGAAACATTGAACTGTCTGAAGTATGTTGCAATTTTTTGTTCCTGTTTAGGTGATAGTGAGGGTGGTGGTAAGGTAAGGTATTTTTAAAAAAATGTTTGTGACTTTACTAATGATCTTCTGTCATGTAAAATCTTTATTCACTCACTTGTTTATTTTTATGTAACTTTACTTCTAAGTATTTTTTTCTTTTTAATGCCATTGTGAATGAACTATTTTAAAAATTTTATTGTTTGGATTGTTCATTCCTAGTATATTGAAATTCGGTTGGATTTTGTATATTGATTTTTTATCCTGTGGTCTTGGTGGGCATGTTAGTTCTTGTAGTTGTTGTTTGTTTTAGGATTTTCTATCTATAGCATCGTGTTACCCATGAATGAAGAACAGATTTAGGATCAGGTTACTATGATAAAGACATCTTTATTGTTCCTGCCCAATTTGGATGCCCTGCAATGATTTATGTCACCCCGTTGTCTTGTTGGAACCTTGGTACCATGTGAATGTGTGATCTCTGAGAGGAGGCATTCCGTATTTCACTATTAAATGTGATACTAGTTCTACAAAACTAGAGTTTTGTAGATGCCTCTGTAAAGATGAGGAAGTTTTCTGTATTCCTAGTTTGTTGTTTTATCATGAAGTGTTGGATTTGTCATAGTTTTCTGTGTCTGTTGAGATGATCACTTAGTTTTTTGAGTAGCAGAAGTCCTTAATTTTGATAAGGTTCCACTTTTTAGTTTCTTCTATTATGGATCATGCTTATGATGTTGTAGTAAGAGATTTTTGCCTGATCTGGGGTACAAAGACTTCTTTCCTATGCTTTCTTTTAGAACTATTATGGTTTTGAGTTTTAATTTTTTTCTATTTCCATGATTAATGTTGAGTCAAGTTGGCTTATCTGTAAGTTTTTAGGGACTTAAAGGTATAGTTACTCACAGGGTCAATTCAACCTTAGAATAACCATTCAAGGTGTACAGAGATCAGAAAGTTGCCTTGATTTTTGCTGTTTGTATTTCAGTAAGAGTGATGATTTTGGAGATTATGGCATTATATTTAATGTATTTTTTTGTAATAAGTGTTTTGGTAGGTAATGTTTTGCATGAGTAGCCAACGTACACAGTAGCTTTAGGACTATTGTAATACAAGATAATATTTTAGAGATCTTGGACTGCCAGAATATGTGTTTATGTAAGTGGAAACCATATATATTTTGAAATTTCAATATATCAAAAATCCTTTATTATTTTATATCTTTTATTTTGAAATTATCTGGTGGTACTCTTGCCTTCCTTGAAGAATTGATATGCTGGGTAATGTTAGGTCTATCTTTCTGTCCATGCCTTTACTCCTTTCTTTCTTTTACTTACCTTGTCAAGGATGTAAGTTTGATAGTCATAAAAATATATATTGACTATTATAATTACAAAATTTCCTTTCAAAATTTTGTTATTTTGATCTAGGTCTGTCTATATTTAGTCAAACTTTGTTACAGACTATTTCAAATCCTTGTGAATAGATGTCAGAAGATAGTAAGTAAAATAAAATGCAGATAATACAGATGTTTGCTGGGCACAGTGGGCATACCTGTGATCTTAGTGACTCAGGAGGCTGAGGCAGGAGGATTGCAAGTTTGAGGCCAGCCTCAGCAATTTAGTCAGACCCTAAGTAACTTGGCAAAACCCTGTCTCAAATAAAATCATGAAAACGTGTGAGGATGTGGCTCAGAGGTAAAGTACTTCTGGGCTCAATCCCCAGTACCAAAACCAAACCAAACCAAAATAAAACAAAATCCAGATGTTTACCTAATACCAGTACTTATGTGAATCAAGTCAGCCTTCTCTCAGTATAATATAAAATACCTGAGGTAACGAACTTAAAAAGAGAAAAAGGATTATTTGGTCTCAGTTTTGGAGGTTCCAGTCAAAGATTGGGCAGACTCATTGCTTTGGGCCTGTGGTGGCTCTACCAGATGGCATTGGTGGGGAGTGTGTAATAGGAGACAAAAAAGGAAGAGGAAAGGCCTGGGGTCCCACAGTCCTCCTTGAGGGCATGCCCCTTATGACCTGGGACCTCCCACTAGGCCCCACCTCCTCAAGTTCCACGCACCTCCTGATGGCACCACCCTGGGGACCAAACTTTCAACACATAGACCTTCGGGGACATTCAGTATCCAAACTACAGCATCCTGTGTGAAAAAATCCAGAGCTTTATTATTTTTTTCAATTACACAAACCTTTGAGAAGAGAAGTTGTGCGTTTTACAGTGGATATTGTATAATTTCAAGCCTTTCGGTTTCTGATAGTAGTCCTTAATCTTGATTTTTCTTTAGTCCTTAAGGTTATCACACTATTTTGCAGTACTTTTAGGAGATTTTCACATATTGAAGGTTTTCGGCAAGTGAGTTTTTCCTGAGAAGTGTGAGGAATGCTTTATCAGTTGCTTCTTAAATTAACTTAAAATTTCTTGGCCAGAACATTTATCTGTAAAAGTTAGTCATTTACTTTTAACTTTTGGCTGCTGATCTTTTGTGATTCAATGAATTATTTTTACTTTAAAGGTTAAATCTGTTGTATAAGTGCCAATTGGTATGTTAGAAATGCTAAATTAAACATTGCTACTTGAAATTATATTTCATTTACTTGTTTAAAAAGGATAAATGCCTCTTGAGGGAGAAATCTCTATCCTTTGGATATATATTTAAAGAAATAAAATTTCTTAATGTCCCTGCTTCTGCCGGTGTTAAGAGGAAAGAAGCAGTATTTTTTCCTAAGGCATCAAAGGGATAAAAAATGGGGCTGGGGAACGTGGTCAGTGGTGGAGCACTTTCATAGCATGTTTGAGGCCTGGGTTCAATCCCCAGCACTGAAAAAAAAAAATCTGTTGTTATTAATTCAGAAATTAAATACCTGAGGATATATAATCAGGTTTCTAGGTATTTCCAGATAGTTGGGTTATGTTTGTACTCTATGATTGAGTTCACTTCAATGTAGTAAAATAATTTTCCTCTCTAAAATTAAATATTTTTATTTCACTTGAAGTAAAAAGAGAAAGAGATCTTTTCACTAGAATTAATTTTGTTTAAATATAAAACTTGCTAATGAACACTTTAAAACATTACATTGGCCCAGGGTATGTGCTGTCCGCTCCCTGGCCTGAAGTCAGGCTGGTTTCCTTGTTCCCTTGGCGCTCCTCTTTCACAGGAGTAAGGAGCCGGCCGGGCCTCATTTCGGATGGCCCCAGACTCCTGGATTGTCCTCTATTCAATTTTGCATTTCTTCTCTGTCACTTGTCATTGCAGTGTCATTGACACAAAGTCTTTTCTTCTTCTTCCTCTTTGTTTAAAAATATTTGTTTATTTTTTAGTTGTAGTTGGACACAATACCTTTATTTCACTTATTTATTTTTATGTGGTGCTGAGGGTCTCGAACATGCGAGGCGAGCGCTCTACCACTGAGCCACACAACCCCAGCCCACCTTTTCTTCTTTCTGATGCCTCATTGCTTCTAAATTCCCAACTGACCTGCTGTGAGCTGATTTTTTCTTCTTCTTAGTTTTCAGTTGATTTCCTGTTTTCCTTTTTGTGCACTTTATTTCAGTGGAAAATCAAGAACAAGAATCCTAGCTTTTTGTTGCTGTTGTTCCGTGCTGTGCCACTGAGGCTGGTCCTGGGGCCGTGTCAGCATATCTAGGACACATAACTCAGAAGCTAGTCTGCTTGTGCTTTGCCTTTGTCTTCATTTTTTATGTATACCTTTCAACTTAAAAGGCATAGCTTCTGTTTAAGGACCAGTTGTTTAGGAATTTATGATGGGAGAACATTTTCTACTTGAAACAAAGTAAAAAAGAAACCTTTAATCAGGAAGAATTTATGTAATTTGATATTTAAATGCTTTTTAATTCTTTGGCTTCTCATTTTCATTTATTTAATAAGGTTAGGATCAATTTGAGGACAGGGATCATGTCTCCTGTGCTAATGCATTTTCCCCTTTATGCTTGCACGTGCGCTGGGCACCCTTTCGGCTGCCTGATGCAGATTGAAGAGAGCTAGCTCCATGTGCGTGTTCCAAGTTGGAACAGGTGAGCATTAGATGCTAGGAGGAATGTATGGTTCCTGGAACTATTGTTTTTTTATCATTATCTTTTGGTCATTATTACATGAAATCATTAAAATCTTAAAAATTGTTAGTTTTTCTTAAGAATGTATATATACTTATCGTTCTTTTCTACTTTTTTATTATCTTAGCAGATATTGGTTATTCACTGAGAAGACCAAATTTTTGTTTTGGTTGGTTTTGCTGCTTAATGATATTTTAAACTCATCTCAATGGTGTTTTTACATGGACTCCTAAAATTGGTCATTTTCCTCAATTTTCTGTTGTTTAAATGTTTTCAGAAAGAAAAACTGCTCCTGGTGTTTGGGTCCCTTGGAGAAACCATGTGTTACCATAAGAGTAGCGTTGATTTAGAGCAAACAGAGATGCTGCTGGTGCACCACAGGATGGCCTTTGTCAGCACCTCACTGTTTGCGGTTCGCCTGTTGCAAACACTTCTCCCTGTTGAAAAGGTAAGGTAGAGGATGCTGTTTCTTGTAGTTCACTGAATTTTAAATATATGCTCTCTTGTAAATTTCTTTTGATCATTTCATGGTGCCAATGTGTTCTACTGTAAGACCCATTTTTGAAATAAGAGTATATAAAAATATTTTATTTACTCATTTATTTTCATACAATTATTTTAAATGTACAAATTGATATAACTAACATTTTGACTTTTTTTTTTTTCTGTGGTACTGGTGATTGAGCCTAGGGTCTTGTGCATTCGAGGCCAGCACTCTACCAACTGAGCTATATCTCCAGCTCCAGCAGTCGTTTTTGTTGCACATGTTGATTGTAATTCTGAATATTCATTTGCTTATTCCTTTACTTGTCCATTCATGAATATTTAGTTGATTGCCTATATACTGGGCTAGCAGTATTACATGCTGGATGTAAAACTAGTAAGTTAGAGTTGGTCCCATAGAATTTAGTTTTGTGTAAACGATAAGACTTACTAGTAAGTTAGCTTTCTAAGTCAGTATGTTTGAATTACCTGGTTTCATTTCTTTAGTAACTTGATTTCAAAGCCAGCCTCAGCAATTAAGTGAATTGCAAATCAGCAAGACCTTGCCTGTAAGTAAAATACTAAAAAGGGTTGGGGATATGGCTCAGTGGTTGAGTGCCCCTGGGTTCAATTCCTGGTACCAAAATAAAAAAGGATTACATATTTTGTCTTTATTGCCTAAAACTGTCTACAAGTGGTCTAATCTGTTGGTGATGCTTTCCATTGAATTTTTGATTTGGTTTATTGATTACTTCATTTTGAGAATTTCTGCTTGATTTTTTTTCAGAATCTCTTTCTCTTTATTGAAGTGATCTTTCAGTTTCTGTATTTTCTCTCTGCTATCACTCCTTACATTGTCCTTTACCTTGCAGATTAGTTTAACTGTGTTCATTCCAAAGTCTTTCTCTGACATTTCTTCCACTGTGGTGGCAGTGAAATCTGTTATTGAAGTATCTTGGTTTGTTTGAGGCAATTTGTTCCCATGCTTTTTCATGTTCTTTGTGTGTCCGCCCATCTAACAAGATGGATGTGAGGCAATAGAGTTTCTATACTGTGGAATGAAGTGTCCCGGAAGGTTTTCAATACCTTCCCATTTAGGAGAGAAATAACAACAACAACCAATGAAAACAATATACAGCATTAAACCAGAGAGTTCCTGCTATGATGTCTACAATGTTGTCACGATGAACAGAAATGATGTGATCAGTTATTCCCTATAATAAATGGCAAGTTTGCAAAAGGGTTTACCATTTCAAGTGGTGGACAGGGAAAAAACAGAAGTGATGTAGGATGTGATGATTATGAGGGAAGAGGAGAGAAGATATAAGAAAAAAATAAGGAAGACTGAAAGAACAATAGAGATTGGCTGTTAGAAAAAAAGAGAAAGAGATTCAAGGGAAACTAATGAGTTTTCCTAGTCCTTAGAAAACTGATCCATGAATGACTGTTTTCAAAAATGTTAGAAATGAGAAAAGAAAAATAATACCAAATATGATTATGTATAAATGTGCATGAACCATTGTGGTCACAATTAAGCAGAGAAAAGAAAAACGGGGGGAAAAAAAAAGATCTCAGTGAGAAGTTAAAGAATTGTTTCCATGGAATTGAGAAGATTCTCAGCTTCCATTCGCAGCAGCGTTAGGTGTGGTGGTCTAGAGTGTGATGCTTGCTCCACCCTCAGGGTGGGGTTGCTGGAGTGAGTGAGAGAGGAAATCCTGTAGGCAAAACTCCTGGAGTGGGGCTTCATTCTTAGGTAGACTTCAGGCTCTTCGCTGGATGCCTTTTGGTCTGGAGATGCTAAATCAGTGCACCTCCAAGGCTCAGCACTTGCTGGTCCTTCATTGAAGACTGCACCCCAGGATCTCCCCTGGGTTCCACTCACATGGTGGAGGAACCCATTCTTAGTCTCCTATATCACCTGCAGACCTTGTGTTTCCTGATCTTGGGTTTAGTTTTCAAACTCAGTCTCTTTTGCCCCCACCCTTTCAATTTCCTGGCCATGTGCATCTCTCACAATTGGTCCTGCAAGCAGCTGGATTAAAAAGGAAGGGGAGAGGTGGGTGGGTTTCCCTGACTAGTTAGTTGTCCCCTGCGTAAACCTCTCTCCATGTGTGATTTCCCCCTGGTCACTTAGACACACTCTGTGTCGTGCAGTGTGGGTTTGCCAGGTCTGTATTTCAGGCCAGACTCGGGTGCCAGGACTCAGCTCCCTCAGCTGCTGGTCCCTGTGCTGCTGCTACAGAATGGTTCCTCACTCTGTCATTGAATGCCGCAGGAGAGATGGCGGCTTCTTTCCCATACAAGGACATGGTGCATCTCACCTTTCAGTTTAGTTGGGGAGTGTCTTTGATCTCGCAACGCTCTGTGCCAGACACACTTCTGGCCTCCTGAAAATTTGGATTCCTTTAATTCCCTATCCCTCCACGTTGCTCTTGGAGAGACCCCTCTGGCTGGTGTCTCCAGCGACTGTGGTACTGGAGATCTCTTCCTTATTTTATTATATCCACCTCCTGAGAGTTCCCAGTCTGTTCTGAGTGTCCAGTAATAAATTCCAGGAAAGCCCCCACCCCTTGCCCCACCTTTGTTGTCCACCCATCTTGCTGAGAGGTTGTGGTCTGCTTTCTTGGTTTCATGCCATGGAGCAGCCAGGAAGGTGACCTGCTGTATTCTGCCATCTTGAAACCTCCTCGTCTAATATTAGTTTTGAGGCTTTTTTTCTTTTCTTTCTTTTATCTTTAAAATCAGAATGAAGGGTAGGAATGTAGCAAGAGTGTGCGTATGTAGACTTCCCAAGGTTTTGAAGGTCCTAGCACTGGGGGAAATAATCAAATTGAGAGCATCTGTAAAAATTATTATTTTAAACATTTACTATTATCTAATATACATGTTCCAGTTACTTAGGCACTTCATAAATTTTAATGGGTACTAAATATTTCATCATAAAGATATTCTATAGTTTGCATAAGCATTCTAGAAATTAGACATTTAGGGTTTTTATTGTGCATATGTTTTAATGAATAACATTTTAAAATATGTACATATACATATTTACTCATTTTGGATTCTTAGGTTCTTATTAACATCAGATAGAGACAGAGAATGCTCAAACATGTTTTTATTATAAGCATAATTTTAAAATAATACAGTTTCACAGATTTCATTATTTTTACTACAGAATGGATACAAAAAATATAGTATATGGAAAAGATAATTGTGAGGTTATATGGGAGAATATTACTAAAATTAAACAGTTTTCAAAATTTGAAAAATGTAGGCCGATAACTTTTCTATGTCTTGCTAATCACAGTTTCTGAAATTGTATAGTATGATAGTGTAATTTGGCTATCAGTTTTCAACTGATTTTTAATATATTGTTAAAAGAAAAACTAAAAGTCTATAAAGACTTGTATGCTTTTTTCATTATACATAATGTAGTAGTTTACAAAAGTGTATATACTTTGATGACTTTTTAGCAAGTGAAGCCATCTGTTTTAAGAAAGTGACTTTCCCACCCTGAACAAAATTCTTTTTTTTTTTTGGCACCAGGGAGTGAATCCAGGAGTGCTCAACCACTGAGCCACATCTCCAGCCCTTTTTTATATTTTTAAATTAGAGACAGGGTCTTAGTGAGTTGCTTAGGGCCTCGTTAAATTGTTGAAGCTGGCTTTGAACTCACAATCCTCTTCCACAGCCTCCTGAGCCCCTGGGATTACACGTATGCACCACCATGCCCAGCCTGAAAAAAGTTCTTGTTAAAACAGTAGCATTTCAAAACCTTCTTCCCTTCAATTCATTACTTCTTCCTCCTCCCTAAAACTAAAATTCTTTAGGAAGGACTTCTATCACTATAGATCAGTTTGCTTGTTTTTGAACATTGTTTAAGTGGACTTTTTTTTTTTTTTAGGATTCATTACTGTTGTTGTTTGTTGCAGTACTTTGCTTTTATTATTATTATTGTACATCATTATTGTTGCTTGTGGCAATAATTTTTTGTTATTATATATTGCGGTATTAGTTAGAGGGGATTGAACTCAGGGCCTTTTGTATGCTAAGTAAATGCTTTACTACTGAGTCACATCCCCAGCTCTTTTTATTTTGAGACAGGGTCTTCCTTGCTAAGTTGCATAGGCTGGGTGGCCTCTAACTTTCAGTGTGCCTGCCTCAGCCTTTCAAGCAGCGAGGATTACAGGTGGTACGCACCAATGGGCTCAGCAATTTGTTCATTTTTATCACAAAACACTATTCCATTTTATAAGTGTATTCAAAATGATTCATATTACTAGATCATATGTGAAAACAAGAATAGAACATTAAATTTTAAATATTATGTTTTGCTTTATAGAAAACCATATCACTTATTAATTTTTAACTTTTATTCATTAGTCATGTTTCTGAAGTAATTTTTCTTTTAGGTACTGGGAATTGAACTCAGGGGCACTTTTGCTGAGGCTGGCTTTGAACTTATGATCCTCCTGCCTCATCCTCCTAAGCTGCTAGGATTACAGGTTTTGAAGAATGAGAATTTTCTAAGCTATAAACGTTAAAAATGGAAGAATTATAGTCATATAAGATTATAATTATATTTAAAATGTGGGTGTCTTTCTTTGTAGAATAATATTTTATAAGTGAAAACTGTTGCTTCTGTAATAATTTATCATTTATAACTATTATAAATACGTATATAATAAATAAGCACTTATTATCAGTGATCAATTTATGGGATGAAGAACTAATAGAAAACCTATGTATCCTGTCAACTGTATCAGACAGTTTATTGTATTTAATCTATATGCTTATTTTGATAGAATCAATTAGAATAGAAGTTAGTAATTTTTTTCTTTTTTTTTTTTGATTTGGGTTCATGATAGAATAATGCAAAGTTTCCCTCGGCTCTGATCATCACGGAGAGCTGGGGAGAGATTTTTGAGATTTCCCAGCTGTATGGAGAGGGAGGGCTGAGGGTCA